TGTGCGTAAGTGAATATAACAAACTCGACTGGGTAGAACAATATATGCAAATTTTTTTAATATATTCAAATTTTAATATATGCGTAGGTTTTATGCAAATTTTTAATATATTGAAATTTTAATATATGCGAATCAAAAGTATCAAACTGAATTTTCTTTCAATAAATATTTTTCAAATACGATTGTAGATTTTTTCAAAAATTTTGTCTTCAACATAAGGATGCGTATTATGCACTGATGCGTCTTATACTTCAAAATGTGCTGTGCCTCAACGAAATTTGAACTTGGTTTAACTGTTCCAGTTGCAATGAAATTACTATTAGTCCAGCTCCTCACATCCACCACTAAAATAAGCCTAAGGAATAAAAAACGTGCGTTTTTATTTATTTATTACTCCTCTAGAGAATTGTTTAATTTATTTGTTTCTTTCTTTCTTTCTTTCTTTGATTTGATTTTTATGCTTTGTTTGTTTTGTTTTTTTTTTTTTTTTTGTTGTTGTTGTTGTTGTTGTGTGTGTTTTTGATTATCATTCCTGGGTTAATTTTAACGCTTTTGATTTTTTGCGCGTATGTGTCTAACATTGACGGATTTATACACGACTTTCTGTAGGCTGTAACCCAGAGTTTCATCATCTTGTGAGGCTCGGCGTTTTGCCAAAAGAAAAAAAAAGAAAATAAAAATTTACCATCAATTTTTTTTCTAAATTGTAATGATAAAAATCAGGTGTGTACCTCAGCCAAAATAAAGAGTAAACGAAAAGACTAAATTACAGCCATTTCTTGCCAATTTCGCTTAAATTATGTTTTCATCCAAAATAAAAGCAAAAAATAAACTATTTTGACTTAGTAATGTTTAAATATACGGATACTGTTTAAACGTCTTTATTAACCCCAATTTTTGTATAGAAAATATTATAATGGAATGTCTCACACTCCCTATCGTCTATGTGGACTGACTATATCAGTATCTATGTATGGTGCGCACAGGATATACATGGAGGCTTGCTTCGGCAATTAGTTAGAGATTCGTCTCCAGCTAAGCTGGTCGAACTCTCTGCCTTCGGGCGGAGAGGAACCCAGACGAGGCTAGGTCAGCCTTGTCTGGGGTGGTAGACAGCTACCCGACTCCGTTTTTACGGTGTCAACAGGGAATATTTGCCCGAGCCTACGGGCTCGGTTTTAACCCGCATCAAAAAAGGCCTTGTGCCACATCCTGCGTCGCGTTGTGGTAAGGTAAATAACCTTGCTTCGGCAATTGGTTGGAGATTCATCTCCAGCTAAGCTAGTCGAACTCTCTCCTTTCAGGCGGAATGGAAGCCAGACGTGGCTTACGGGTAATTTTGCCCGAGCACACGGGCTCGTTTTAATCACGCATTAAAAACAGCCTTGTGCCACACCCTGCCTCGCGAGGAGGTGAGGTAAATAGCCTTGCTTCGGCAATTAGTCTCCAACTGTGCTGGTCGAACTCTCTGCCTTCGGCCATTAGTTGGAGATTCATCTCCAGCTAAGCTAGTCGAACTCTCTCCGCCTTCGGGCGGAGTAGAAGCCGGACGAGGCTATGCCGAACGACAGAGTCTCGTCTAGGGTGGTAGACAGCTAGACGACCCCGGGTATACAGGGTCTACTGGGAATTTTTGCCCGAACCTACGGGCTCGGTTTTACCCCGCATTAAAAACGGCTTTGTGCCACATCGTGTTTCACGGTGTGATAAGGTATATTCTTTCTTCGGGAATTACTAGCCTGCCACACGATTCCCTGTCTTTCAGTAGTGTGTTCTCTTATAATAAACCGCTCTTTCATCTCTGCGCGTGTTGCTGTTTCTTCATTCGAGTAACGACCTTTGACTGTTTGTAACCTCTTTAAGGTTACAATAGAAGGTTAAAAATTTACAAATAATCTTTCAGTTAATGCTAAAACTTTAAAAATAGCTAAAATTTTTAAAATGATAAAAATTTAAAAAATGCTGAAACACTAAAATAATTAAAAATTGCTAAAATTTTAAAAATTCTAAAATTTAAAGATAATCAATTTTCATTGTATAGGTTTTCTTTCTCATAATTAGATACTATTAAGCTTGATCCTTCTAAGCTTTCTAATCCAGAGTCTACAAAGATTACTAAAACAAAGCATCCCAAGTTTTCTAGCCCAGAATCTCATGTCCTCTTACCGAGGTCCTTTTAAGCCTTCTAGCCCAGAGTTTGCCAGGTCATCTAACTAATGTTCTCTCGTCTCCTATCCTAAAGTTTTTCAAATTTTCTAACCACGGCCCTCTCGATTGTTCTAACCCAGAGTTTCCCAGGACATCTAACCGAGGTCTTATCAAGTCTTCTAACCCAGAGTTTGCCAGGTCATCTAACCGAGGTCTTATCAAGTCTTCTAGTCCCGAGTTTTCCAAATCTTCTAACCGCGGTTCTCTCGAAAGTTTCCCAGGACATTCGAAAGTCTTCTAACTCAGAGTTTGCCAGGTCATCTAACCGAGGTCTTATCAAGTCTTCTAGTCTCCAGTTTTCCAAATCTTCTAACCGCGGTTCTCTCGAGTGTTGTAACCCAGAGTTTCCCAGGACATCTAACCGAGGTCGTCCCAAGTTTTCTAACTCAGAGTTTGCCAGGTCATCTAACCGAGGTCTTATCAAGTCTTCTAGTCCTGAGTTTTCCAAATCTTCTAACCGCGGTTCTCAGGAACCGATCAAGTTTTCTAACCAGAGTTTGAGGTCATCTAACCGAGGTCTTATCAAGTCTTCTAGTCCCGAGTTTTTTCGAGTGTTGTAACCCAGAGTTTCCCAGGACATCTAAGAGTCGTCCCAAGTTTTCTAACTCAGGTTTGCCAGGTCATCTAACCGAGGTCTTATCAAGTCTTCTAGTCCCGAGTTTTCCAAATCTTCTAACCGCGGTTCTCTCGAGTGTTGTAACCCAGAGTTTCCCAGGACATCTAACCGAGGTCGTCCCAAGTTTTTCTAACTCAGAGTTTGAGGTCATCTAACCGAGGTCTTATCAAGTCTTCTAGTCCCGAGTTTTCCAAATCTTCTAACCGCGGTTCTCTTAGAGTGTTGTAACCCAGAGTTTCCCAGGACATCTAACCGAGGTCGTCCTAAGTTTTCTAACTCAGAGTTTTCATCAAAGGTCTTATCAAGTCTTCTAGTCCCGGTTTTCCAAATCTTTCGGTTCTCTCGAGTGTTGTAACCCAGAGTTTCCCAGGACATCTAACCGAGGTCGTCCCAAGTTTTCTAACTCAGAGTTTGCCAGGTCATCTAACCGAGGTCTTATCAAGTCTTCTAGTCCCGAGTTTTCCAAATCTTCTAACCGCGGTTCTCTCGAGTGTTGTAACCCAGAGTTTCCCAGGACATCTAACCGAGGTCGTCCCAAGTTTTCTAACTTAGAGTTTGCCAGGTCATCTAACCGAGGTCTTATCCTTCTAGTCCCGAGTTTTCCAAATCTTCTAACCGCGGTTCTCGTTCGAGTGTTGTAACCCAGAGTTTCCCAGGACATCTAACCGAGGTCGTCCCAAGTTTTCTAACTTAGAGTTTGCCAGGTCATCTAACCGAGGTCTTATCAAGTCTTCTAGTCCCGAGTTTTCCAAATCTTCTAACCGCGGTTCTCGAGTGTTGTAACCCAGAGTTTCCCAGGACATCTAACTGAGGTCGTCCCAAGTTTTCTAACTTAGAGTTTGCCAGGTCATCTAACCGAGGTCTTATCAAGTCTTCTAGAGTTTTCCAAATCTTCTAACCACCCGGTTCTCTCGAGTGTTGTAACCCAGAGTTTCCCAGGACATCTAACCGAGGTCGTCCCAGTTTTCTAACTTAGAGTTTGCCAGGTCATCTAACCGAGGTCTTATCAAGTCTTCAGTCCCGAGTTTTCCAAATCTTCTAACCGCGGTTCTCTCGAGTGTTGTAACCCAGAGTTTCCCAGGACATCTAACCGAGGTCGTCCCAAGTTTTCTAACTTAGAGTTTGCCAGGTCATCTAACCGAGGTCTTATCAAGTCTTCTAGTCTCGAGTTTTCCAAATCTTCTCAGAGTTTCCCAGGACATCTAACCGAGGTCGTCCCAAGTTTTCTAACTTAGAGTTTGCCAGGTCATCTAACCGAGGTCTTATCAAGTCTTCTAGTCCCGATTTTTCCAAATCTTCTAACCGCGGTTCTCTCGAGTGTTGTAACCCAGAGTTTCCCAGGACATCTAACCGAGGTCGTCCCAAGTTTTCTAACTTAGAGTTTGCCAGGTCATCTAACCGAGGTCTTATCAAGTCTTCTAGCCCAGAGTATTCCAAATCTTCTACCCGCGGTTCTCTTGATTGTTCTAGTCCATAGTCTCACAAGTCGTCTAACCGATCTCCTCTATTCCTCTCGACCACAGTTTCTTCTTAAAAATTCATCCTGTCATTGAATAAGCCATGGTTATAACATTGCAAATAAAACAACTTAATTATAAATGATCTAAACAAAACATTTAACAATTTCCCTTTTTGAAAAATGAAGCACAAATGATTACGATTTTCATTGAGTTCAAGAGGACTAATTCTGGATACATTAATTCATCTCCCCCTTCATTTAGTAAACACAGTTCGGCACTGGGTTGCAAAAGGCTAAAAATAAACGTGCCAGTGGCCTTCTGCTTTTGGTACGATATCTGGCGACTTGAGAGTCTTCAGGAAAATGAAGTAAATATAAACATCCTAAACTGAAATTCGATCCCAGATCGCCGATTCCAATCTTTGCACCAACTTTAATAGACAGAGGAAACTGTTTATCACAATTACAGATAATGTTATCATCTTGTTATCAAAATCAGTTGGTGTCCCAAACATTTATAGCACAGAATAGAGGAGGGAATACTGAAAACTTCTCCCGATTACCCACTTCCCAAAACATCAACATACTGATTTGGGTGAATCGGTAGAGAATTTTTCACTCCCTCTCAATGTAAATTACTCTTATTTTAATCTCTACCCCTTCACACAACTATTTTATCTATTTTTATCATAGACCATAGAAAGATAGATTTTTAACAGTCTGAGATAGATAGATAGATAGATAGATAGATAGATAGATAGATAGATAGATTGGTTGGTTGGTTGGTTGTTTTATTTAGCAGCATATCAACGTTATTTAATGACGAAATCTAAATATTTCTAGGCAATTTTATTTTAATTTTTATCGGGGAGATAATAATCATTCTAGTGATACAAGTCTCACTAATTAATCCATATCTGGGGGAGAAAATAAGAATTCATACATTTCCCAAGAGTATTTGCTTATAAATGAATATAACGAACTCGACTAGAATTGAAACTCGGTTCTCTGATTAACAATTCCGAGCCATTATCCACCCGCACATACAAGTTTACAATGCCTGGTATTCTGAAGTGCTCACCAATCTAGACACTGACCAGCCTCGACGTTGCTTAACTTCGGTGATTTCACGAGAACCGATATTTCAACATGATGTGGACGTAAAGCCTAGATAGACAGATACGAACAGAATGACATAGATAGATAGATAGATAGATAGATAGATAGATAGATAGATAGATAGATAATTTTAATTATTTATGTAGTTCATCGATCAAGCCGGTTTGTATTCATCTATCGAGCTATATTGTTTAATTAGTTAATGCCTAAGATGGGCGTCTTTTTCGCCTTTGATCCCATCAACTGAGATCAAAAGCCAATAGATCCTTTTATAAATAATAAAAATGTGTTAATCTCTCTCAATTCATACATTCGTACACTTTTTAAATTGCAGTATCTACGGATACATTAGGTTCATACAAATGTTCCCAACGTTTCTAATAGGATATTTCATTCACATAAATTGAAGCTATCATTTGTCACTTATGAAAAGTAGTTTCCTTCAGTTCCTGTGACCTTGGCTTCGAGCGAGTGAAACATGTAGGCGTTAAAGTGGAGCATCCTTTATCGAACATCGTGGTCTGGCGCTACAGAATCACAAATAAAAACGTGTACCAAATAACAGAAACCACATTACTTGACAACAACAGCAACAACAAAAATAGACAGCACATGTAACTCGGAGAGAAAATAATGACATAAACAAGATGTTAGCATTCCACACTACTTCAAATAAAAGTTTAGGAAGGAAATCTACATCAGTAGTGGAAAGAGCAATAACAGTTACTGGACCTGAGAAAACTATTTTCCTGAAAGGTTAGCTTAATAGAAAGATTTTATAAATTTCAAATGACACTAGTACTGGCTGCTTAGTCAATAAATGCCGAATGTTTCCTTATAAGGAAACAGCCAATATTATCATTACGATTACGCCACTTATCGGTAAAATCTGCATTCTGTAATTACAAAATGGTTTCGACTTTGATTAGAGTTATTTCTTTGCAAAATCTTTTGATAGCCTGAAATTTTCAGAACTGCCAACTATAGAAGGATTGACACGATTGAAGTTTTGATCATTCTTGCGCCATAACCTATCTCGCATTTGCAAACCATGAAACATGTTTTCATGTAGAAACATTACCGGTCGATTTCTTTAATCTGTCTTTCAAACGAGACAGTTCATTTTTTTCTGTTTTCTGAAAGAAAAATGAAAGAGATTCATAAATGTTTAAACGCTAGTTGATTTTTGTTTGCGTAATTTGAGGTACGATGGTGTAATAAACAGCAGCCCGTCTTGAGAGATCGGAGAGCCGAGTTCAAATTCTAGTCGAATTCATTATATTCACTTACGTGCTAATACCCTTTCGAAAGGTATGAATCCATCTCATCTCCCCCAACTCTGGTTAAAATAGCAGGATTAACTGGGTTCTGCAGTCTTGGGTGGCAACCGATCTACCAGAGGGAGAAATCTGAATTCAAAACTTTACAACAATAGTAGAGTAAACTGGGCTTTATAACCTTGGTTGGCAACCAGTCTAAGATTAGGAAAACACTTAATTCAAACCAGCCTATAGAGGGTTGGGTTCTGTCAGTGGAGCTTGGTCAGGAAACACCACTGCTATTACGGCTGTAGTCTATGCCGTGTCTCTACGATCTTAATGGGTTACGGGACTTGTTTTTAATTTGAAGTGAAACGCACGGCATATTTTTTTTTTTTTATTGTATTTTTTCCAATTTTTGAATAAGATGTTGTATTTCAGGGTTGATATGATCGCCTTCTTTAAGGCAGAAATATTTTCTTAGACGATTTTTGGATACAACTGATTTTAAATTAACTCCAAACAACCACAATTAGAAGACTTAGACGGTCATTCAATCGTTCTACTTCTTCCGATCCACCTTTCTGGAACTGTTTCATCGAAAGATTTGCTCACACTAATAGCAAAATGTGGGGAAGGCCCATCTTACTGGAACCCCATATGACGTTTTTCTGACAAATTAATGTCATAGGAATACGAAAGAATTGTAATATGTTTCACCTATCACAGTAGATAATCCTATTAATCTTTCACCAAACTTGGATCAAGTTAAAAACAAATTTGAAATAGCCGATGGCATGTCAATTTTCAGGATAAATAGATAGACAGATCACAAAATATTGCTTACCCTGAAAAAAACCCACCGATCAGTAAATCACATGAAGATAACGTGCTTAAAGCGAGTAGATTTTGTAAAAATAAAAAAGATGATCAATATTAAAAAATATAGCGTTAATAGGGAACAGGTAAAAATTATCAATTGAATTTATTAACAGATAATTTATACTCTGATCAAAATTAGAGGGTCGGCTGAAAATTTCATAGGCTCATCAAGGTACGCTCATGAAATGTAAGTAAATGAGATTTATTTTTCAACATAGTCCCCCTTGCGGTCCACACACTTTTTCCATCAGTGTTGCACTGTTTGGATCCGATTGGTGAAGAAGCTTTCATCCTGTTGGTCAAAAAAAGTCATCAACAACAGACATGTTGCCATCATCACTGCGATACTGGTTTTCAGTCAAGTGTGTTTTGTGTTAAGGAACAGATGATAGTCATATGGGACTAAATCAAGAGAACGGGGAGGGTGATCAACCTGTTTAAAGCCACAGTCACGAACAGCAGCCATTGATATCAAGAACTTGTGGGCTGGGGCCTTGTCCTGATGAAACAAGACACCTTTCATCAGTTTTCCTGCCTGTTTAGTCTTAACAGACTTTTGTAACTGCCTTGGAGACTAAACCCTTTTCCCGCTGGTACTTGATAACACCACGATGTCAAATTTTGTCCATCTTGAAGAGAAGTCATTACTAGTTACTTTTGAAATCATCTTTGAACAGTCAGATGTCAGTTTACCTGAAAAAAAAACAAATTCAGTTATTAAGAAGAGTTTAAAATATGCATGCAATATTTCACAACTCTAACATCACTTCTTTATAGTCAGCCTATGAACTTTTCAGCCCAGCCTCGTAGACATATCACTTAATAAATTCAATAGATTTATCTTAGGCCTAACGTGCGGATATATGTCGAGGACAGTCTGACTCGGAAAATAATTCACTGAACCTTTTATTTAACTGTTTTACAGACAGTACTATCTTGAAAACAAGTTCATAGAAAGAAAATCATAACTTCATTCACAGATAATTTTCGGTCTGAGCATACGTGGAACATGCCAGGTACTGCTGCTTATCCAAATGACTCATTAGTCATCTAAGATTTCATGACGATAAAGAATCCCAAGCTGACTATGTTGACAGCCATCCCCAACTAATTACAGATAATTTATGTCAGATTTGGTGACATGGTATACGAGTCAGAAGCAGGTGTTAGAAGAGTCATATGCGAATGTATAAGGACCTGATAATCTCGATAACCATACACAGGTCTTTCCCCTGCCATATAGAAGTGAAGAAGGCATTTTGAGTTACTTACTAGACCACACGTGATCCGTTGGGTCAACCTTGTTGTGTTACTATTTACATTTAGTTTCATGAAGAGTGTGTGAAAGTAGAGATACTTTAAAAATACATTTATTTGCATTTATTGAAGTTGCTTTCAACATTAAAAAAATTATCTGTTTGAAGAAAGTTGAAATAAAAATACTGTATAAACAAATCGTATTTTTAAATGATATTGTAAAACATTGAAGTTGCTTTCAACATTAAAAAAAACTGTGTTTGAAAAAATTTGAAATAAAAATATTTAAAATATTGTTTGTTTAAAAAAAGCTGAAACATAAATAAGCACGCACGCAATCACGGGACGGTGGAAAGAGAGAGAGGTGGAAAGAGAGAGAGGTGGAAAGAGAGAGAGGTGGAAGAGAGATGCGGAAAGAGTGAGGGGGAAAGAGAGAGGTGGAAAGAGAGAGAGGTGAGTGGAAAGAGAGAGCGATTTTTTCTTTATTTCTTTCTCCCCCCCCCCTACCGCTTCCGAAACGATAATAAATTCATATCTCTCTTACACTCACGCTCTATATGACTCCAGGCAAACACACAAGCAACGTTCACAGACCTTTAAAGTAATAAAGATGTGCTCACCGCCGCTCGGCCCAATATTGAAGAGATAGTTTTTCTGTGTAATCATTTAATAGTGGATTTCTGCTAACAGTCCTTCAAATCATTTCAGTCACAGTCTTTTTATATCTCATAACAAGTTAATTATTTATTTCTTATTTTGCCAATCTGTCTCCTCGCTTATTACATTTTAATTACTATTCAATTAGTTTGCATCATAATCGACGATCATTAAATAATCTTCTTCTGTTTTATTTAATTTTTAGATTTTGGTCTTTTAATTATTCAGTTAATTTATAGCCAGGCTAATACTTGATATCCTGGGTGGGGGGGGATTAGTATCACTAAATGGAGACCGAGCTACAAGATATGGATCCAGGTCTATTTATTGCCATATAAGCAAGAGTACGGACAATCTCTCAGCAAAGCTTTAAAAAGCATTAGTATAAGAGGATTAAAAGGAAAACTGTAATATCTATAACATATCTTGCTCAGACGTCCTCAACGTGGATATAAATCAAAGACAAACTATCATAATCAGAGGTGTTTCGACTAGAAGACATACCGCAAATCAGTGTGATTTCTCATTTTCAGTATAGTTATTCTTTTCCCTGTATGCCTATCAGCTCGGAGCTATTTGTGTTTCTTCAACATCCGCTGAGTTATACTGTGGTTTATACTACAACTATTCCAAGCGGACTTTTAGTTACAGTTTA